ACAGTGTCAAGGACCCAAATCTCAGATTAAATTTGATATGACCCAAAATCAGATGGAGTCAAATTCGTTTTGCTCTTACTGCTTTCAAGTTGTTTACATAGGCAGATCCCCAGACAACATAATTTTCTTGTTTGAGGATATCCTTAACAAAACTGTCCAGGTTATTGTACTCACCTAGTTGAGCTTTGGCTCTTTGGTCCCGTCTCTCAGCTGTCAATCAACTAGGCTACAGATTCTGGAGCCTATTGGGCTCTATCAAATCTACATTTGAAACTGTGTATGGAGTCAGCCTCTACCACATCACTGCCTAATGCATTCCACCTGTTAACTACTCTGACACTGAAAACATTATTTCTAATGTCTCTGTGGCTCATTTGGGTATGAAGTTTTCACTTGTGTCCCCTTGTTCGTGTTCCACCCGTGCTAAATAGTTTGTCTTTGTTCACCCTGTCAATTCCCCTGAGAATTTTGTAGGTGGTTATCATGTCTCCCCTTACTCTTCTGTCTTCCAGGGAGGTGAGGTTTAGCTCCCGTAGCCTTTCCTCGTAGCTCATACCTCTCAGTTCTAGGACTAGTCTGGTGGCATACCTCTGAATGTTCTTTAACTTTGTCTTGTGTTTAACTAGGTATGGATTCCAGGTTGGAACTGCATACTCCATGATTGGTCAGACGTAAGTGGTATACAGGGTCATGAACGATTCCTGTGAACATTTGAACGTGTGTGTGTGTGTGTGTGTGTGTGTGTGTGTGTGTGTGTGTGTATAAGGATGTGTTTATGTATGAGACTGGTATATGTGAGTTTGTGTGTATGATGTTGCATTTAAGTACATGACTGAATGTGAGTGATTGAAGATGACCGAACGTACATGATTTCACGTATGGTTGTGTGTGAAGGCGCGTGTGTATGTATGCCGAGATGAAAGTTTAGTTGTATGATGAAGTATAATGACTGGGTAAGGAAAGAGGTCGGCAGCTCCACCTCACACACCCACTTCCCTCACGTGTCTGCCTTACCCAAGTCTTACCCATACCCGAGCCTCGGTACACACACACATTTCACGCAGGAGCAGTAAACCTGTGAAAAAAAGCAAGGGAAACAGAGCACACACACCGCCCGTGGAGGGACCACAAGCGGAAGACAACAGTGAACACGACGAACGCCGGCTCAACCGCTTGGCTTAGGCTACGACTCATAAAAAGACTAAGGTGATGACCTCTGTGGGAACACATACACACCACAACCGGAGTATGCCATTGTCGTCCTCTGCCACAGTTACTCCTGCTTGTTGAATGCTTGAGTTGACTAATATATTTGTACACTTGCAAATATAAACATGATAAGAGCGTGAGATCCCAGCTGTGTCTGGGTACAAGTGACAAGATGAACAACCCAGCGGGTTTTCTTCCTTTTGGGGAGTGTTGTACATGCTGCTATGGCGGTATGTCCACTCACAAGATGAGTGGCGCTGCCCAATAAACTCGCCCCTCTAGGCAAAATTAAAAAAATTAAGAGCGTGAGAAATCACTCCTGGTATTAAATTGTGTAACTAGCATCAAAAGATTGTTATTTGCTTAGCTAAACGAACTAGAGGGTTCAGTTCCTGAACCGATTATGTGCCTCTGTAATCCTTTACACCACCGTCCACGGGATGGGTATGGGGTGCATAATAAAGAAATTGAATTGAAATTGCATCTAGCCTTAATGCTGGGCTAGGCTATATGAAGCTACCGGCCAAGTATGCCCGAAACGCTATGCGTAAACGCTAGGCTTTAGGTATTGTATGTTCTAGCTCTATCTATAAATCCAACATTATGTTTGTAACTAATCTTCTATGTATGTTACCTGAATTAAAATTTGATTTGATTTGCGAATAGAGTCCAACCTCACATTAGTAAAGCCTCCGGATACTTAACAAAAGAAGTTTTCCAACCTTACTTTGAAATATTGTTCAATTACTTTGTATTAACTTAAGATTTTAACTTGTTTTAACGTCGGGTCGCTTATTTTAACAGCCGTGGGGGTTGTGTCGTGTTGTTCTTGTGGCGATAACACCTTCATTTGGCTATATGAATTATCCTTAACGTTTTCGGTTTTTATATTTTACCCTGTTCGAAATTTTCGATGGTAAATATCGTGGAATAAAGAACCTTTTATTTATTTGCTCACATTTTCTTAAAAAAAGGGTATGTTTTTTAATTGAATTTTTAGTATTTTTTTGTAGTTTTAGTACGAATTTGAGAAATTCGTACTAATAATCTATATTAGTATTATAATCTATATTATAGTACATAATATAGTAAACTATTATATTATTCTTAGTAATTGCTGTAATTTCCTTCTTATAGATTGGAATATACAGCTGCATATTTACGAATTGTTCCTCACTGTCCTGGTGGACGGAAATTGTAGATCATTGTTCTCGCAGCTGAAGTGTCTAAGACTACATCCTGAAGTGTGTAATACAGTTAGAAATAATGTGGGTGTTAGTATACCCAGTGGTATAGATCATCAATATAGCTAATGACGCTCGATGGGTTTTCAAAACGCAGCCTAACAGCGCAATGATTGCGCTTAGGGCACCTCTCAGTGGGACTCCCATCGTTAAGGGACGGGTAGAAAGATACTTTAACAATGCAAGAATGTTGACCAAACCAGATATTAGAAATTAAAGATATGATGATGGTCCAGGATGGACCGAAACGTCGTCGTCTCTTCAATTTCTAGTGTGTGGTTTGGTCAACATTCTTCAGCCACGTTATTGTGACTCTTGTTGACCAGACCACACACTAGAAGGTGAAGGGACGGTGAAGAAAGTGAAGATTTAGCCACGTTATTGTGACTCATCGCCTGCATTGTGACTCTTCATCTGCAATGCAAGAATAAGACAATTGGGCCAAGAGCTCACCTCCTATATAACAAAATCATCCATGAACATGACCAGCGAGACATTGAGGAGGACAAAATATGATTTATATGAATAGATGAGGCAGGAAACTGACCTTCTGGATGGTTTCCTGAGGAGCTTCACAACACTCATCAAACTCCACTTGCTGGTCATGATGCTGGCCTGGGCGGTAAGGTCCTCGCTCGCTCTCACAATACACAAACACTAATAACCATTATTCCAGCTAAACTTTATTGAAGAGTTATCAAAGCATTTTCACTGCCAAGTGTAAATATTTATACCTATACTGTATCTAATCACTGATCACACGTATGCTAATTACAAGTTTCTTATACAATACGAGACAAGGTCGCCACCCGCCGCCCACACCTCCACGAGGGCGGCTACAGCAGGGCCAAGGGCGTCGGGCGGGAGACGGGACAACACCCAGCACCCTCACTACACCCCACCACTACACAGACTGGACACACATCCTAGTGAAGAACTTGGCGCGCTGTATAACCCGTGGTGTTTACACAGCTAGACCACACGACGCTACGGCCAAGATACACACACATCAATCGCTTATTTTCTTCAGTCGGTTTACAGTTTTGGCACAAAATACACATTTAACAGGTGACTATACACACACCATGAGCTTGTCTTGAAAAAAAAACCCGCCTGCATTTATGTGCATTCAGTATTGTGTCTTCCGCACCATGTTCATAAAATGGTGTGGTGGGCGGCTGTGGGGGTCCTGTGTTAAGATGGGTCCTCCTCGGTCGACTCCGGCTCATCTGAAGCGAAAAAAATTACAACATGTTAGTGGAGTTTGAGACTTGTGGCCGCTGATACACGCTTCCCTCTCGCTTGTCCTACAGCTAAACCATTGCTTTATCCATCTCTCAATATTTGTCATTCAGCCTCTTATTCTGTTCCTCGACACATATATATATTTTGATTAAAAATATACTAATCAGCCTCGCCAACCCGCAGGACTGTCAATTCAAGTTTGTTTATTCATAAACAATACAAAACTATTGTTACGAGTGAGATTTTGATTTACCATTGTATAACTTGCCATTCATCCCGAACCCATTCTCCATAATGGCCCCCATTGAGAGCACCATCACCCCACACTCCCCATATAAGTTGTCGTTATGTTGTGACAAATATAGTTTACACAAATTAATAGTTCTCGTCATCGCCCTACTCAGACCTATGCCAGTATGACGTCAGAGGAAACACTGGTAGACGTCTCGGCGATTCTGTTATGACAATAGAGGAGAACTGTACATGTTGTCATAACAATATGTATGGTTCCCCTATTGTCATGACAAGAGGCATCAGGTGACAGGAAACCTGCCGCGGAAATCGACCCAGGGACATTTAGGTAACGACTGCGCTGCACAGTGTGCAAACGAAGCCTGTATATCGGGACCAGGGGATAGGTGGTGCATACGGTGCATTCGTCTAGAGTTTAGGATATATTCTAGGCGTGAAGACTTGCATCGCTTGGAAACTAGCAAGTGCGTTAGTCTGTTGTGGTTACCGACTCTCTTACACACAGAAAACACAATAGTCTGATGCATCAAATGAACAACTTGATGTCTGTTCATTTGATGCATCAGGCTATTGTGATTTCTGTGTGTAATAAAGTAAGGGCGAAGAGGTAGAATAGCTTATTGACAGAGCCCGGGTGCATGGGAGGAATTGTGTAAAATCCTGGTTTGTGTCTCGGAGAGGCTGCAGGACCCGTGTGAGGCCAGTTGAACTCCCGGTTGCAATTCTTTTAACCATGTCGTAGCACAGTCGATTAAGGCGCGCCTGGGATCCTCTCGGACGTAGGTTCGAACCCTCATCACGGCCCTTGTGGATTTATAGCGACTCTCGCCTACGTGGTGATGAGGCGGGGCTGAGGAGCTGTATCGTGGCCGTGAGCTGAGGTCCAGTACCGTCACCATTGTAACGTGGCCTTGAAGAGAGCTATAACATGGGGGGGGGGGAGAGGCTGGGTTGCCATGGGCAGTGGTGCATGACCAGTCTCCTCCGCCCCCTCCTCTTCCCTACCTCCTTCCCTCCTCTTCCTCTCCTCTCCCTCCGTGACTCGGCTCCTCACTCATAACATGGAGGTAACTGCAGAAGGTTAATTGGCCCATGCGAGGCGGCTAAGATGAAATTTCTTTGTAACTCGGCTTTAGGCTTCCTCCACGACTGTTCCAGGCTTCCTCCACGACTGTTCCAGGCTTCCTCCACGACTGTTCCAGGTTTCCTCCACGACTGTTCCAGGCTTCCTCCACGACTGTTCCAGGCTTTCTCCACGACTGTTCCAGGCTTCCTCCACGACTGTTCCAGGCTTCCTCCACGACTGTTCCAGGCTTCCTCCACGACTGTTCTAGGCTTCCTCCACGACTGTTCCAGGCTTCCTCCACGACTGTTCCAGGCTTCCTCCACGACTGTTCCAGGCTTCCTCCACGACTGTTCCAGGCTTCCTCCACGACTGTTCCAGGCTTCCTCCACGACTGTTCCAGGCTTCCTCCACGACTGTTCCAGGCTTCCTCCACGACTGTTCCAGGCTTCCTCCACGACTGTTCCAGGCTTCCTCCACGACTGTTCCAGGCTTCCTCCACGACTGTTCCAGGCTTCCTCCACGACTGTTCCAGGCTTCCTCCACGACTGTTCCAGGCTTCCTCCACGACTGTTCCAGGCTTCCTCCACGACTGTTCCAGGCTTCCTCCACGACTGTTCCAGGCTTCCTCCACGACTGTTCCAGGCTTCCTCCACGACTGTTCCAGGCTTCCTCCACGACTGTTCCAGGCTTCCTCCACGACTGTTCCAGGCTTCCTCCACGACTGTTCCAGGCTTCCTCCACGACTGTTCCAGGCTTCCTCCACGACTGTTCCAGGCTTCCTCCACGACTGTTCCAGGCTTCCTCCACGACTGTTCCAGGCTTCCTCCACGAACGATCCAGGCTTCCTCCACGAACGATCCAGGCTTCCTCCACGACTGTTCCAGGCTTCCTCCACGACTGTTCCAGGCTTCCTCCACGACTGTTCCAGGCTTCCTCCACGACTGTTCCAGGCTTCCTCCACGACTGTTCCAGGCTTCCTCCACGACTGTTCCAGGCTTCCTCCACGACTGTTCTAGGCTTCCTCCACGAACGATCCTGGCTTCCTCCACGACTGTTCCAGGCTTCCTCCACGACTGTTCCAGGCTTCCTCCACGACTGTTCCAGGCTTCCTCCACGACTGTTCTAGGCTTCCTCCACGAACGATCCAGGCTTCCTCCACGACTGTTCCAGGCTTCCTCCACGACTGTTCTAGGCTTCCTCCACGACTGTTCCAGGCTTCCTCCACGACTGTTCCAGGCTTCCTCCACGACTGTTCCAGGCTCCCTCCACGACTGTTCCAGGCTTCCTCCACGACTGTTCCAGGCTTCCTCCACGACTGTTCTAGGCTTCCTCCACGACTGTTCCAGGCTTCCTCTACGACTGTTCCAGGCTTCCTCCACGACTGTTCCAGGCTTCCACCATGACTGTTCTAGGCTTCCTTCACGACTGTTCCAGGCTTCCTCCACGACTGTTCCAGGCTTCCTTAAAAATAGTGTGGCTACTGGTGGGTGCATAGCGAAAAGTATCGTAGCCTCGCCCTCAGAAAAGACATTTCCACTGCTCTCTAGACTGGAGATGTTCTGAAAACGTCCATCAACAGAAGGGGGGTACTCTCTTTAACTCTCAGATAATATGGGCAACCGGGAACTCTTTGAGAGTGAGGGGGGGGGGTATGTCTAACTTTCAGCAGTGGACAGTGGAGCCAAGTTGAGGAATGGCGGATGGTCAACACGACATCAAATATTCGGATAGTTAATTTGTAAAGCAACAGGTACAACAAGGCAAGGGGCAAATTAATTCTGGGCCCCTCTTCTTGGGCCTCCCAGCCCAAGAAGAGATGTACTAGACAAACACACGTGATACTCAGCCTGGGGACTCTGTTCACCCCAGGGAACAATTCTCTCAGGCCGTCATGGGCGACCCGGGAATCTAATTTGTTGCTGCCCTCGTACGAGAGCCGCATGTCAATTGTTAGTGACGATACAGAGGAATGGAAAGGGTAATTGGCTATCTTTGTTAATTCACTCCACGTCGTAGAAACTAAGAGTGGACTTGAACTTTGTTCTCGGCTCACTTGCTCGAGAACCGTCGAGATTAGCATCACTAATCACAAAATTATCCTCCCATTTAGCACTTACGAGCTGCTTAGTTCTCACTGACCCTCTTAGGTCTAGAGGGAAGCCTGGTGAGGACCCGCTACCTCGATTGATTTGATTGATGATGATTAAGCCACCCAAAAGGCGGCACGGGCACGAATAGCCCGTAAGTGGGAGCCCTTTGGAGCCATTACCAGTATCAATAGATGATACTGGAGATCTGTGGAGGTGGAACTACACCCTGTGTTCGTCCCGCTACCTCACCAAGCAGCCTCATATACAACCTACTCCTGTGCCAGACACCTACCCCCAGCTCTTCTCTAGCCCAGGGGTAGAGCCCCAGTTTACGGGCTCACCATAGCCCGTGCTACTTGGAACTTGTTCCGAGTAGCTGAATCTATAACAACAACAACAACCCAGGGGTAATTGCTCTTACTGCCCCTTCATATCCTTCCAGCCTCTAGGAAAACCTTACTAAAACAACTGGTTGTTCTGCCTGGATTTGCTACCTTGAGGTGCTTCCGGGGCTTAGTGTCCCCGCGGCCCGGTCGTCGACCAGGCCTCCTGGTTGCTGGACTGATCAACCAGGCTGTTAGACGCGGCTGCTCGCAGCCTGACGTATGAGTCACAGCCTGGTTGATCAGGTATCCTTTGGAGGATACAAAGGATACAAAGGATACACCCTTTGCTAGGGTGAAATCATCAAGGAACGCTACACATTCTCGCCTCTAATACAGTCCTTCCCGGCTCCCTCGACACATTTCCCCAAACAATGGTGAAGGAAATAGCCTAACGACTGTGGCGCCGGTACGCGGGAATTCAGTGCCTTGGTCGCTTGTATTCAAAATTCAAAAATTCTAATTTTTATTCAGTTAAAGTACATACATAGAAGATGAGTTACAAACATAAAGTTGGATTTACAGATAGAGCTAGTAAATATAATACCTAAAGCCACTAATACGCACAGCGTTTCGGGCAAGGTTTGGTACGAAGCTGATGACCGCGTACGTGTGTGTGTGTGTGTGTGTGTGTGTGTGTGTGTGTGTGTGTGTGTGTGTGTGTGTGTGTGTGTGTGTGTGTGTGTGTGTGTAATTACCTAAGTGTAGTTACAGGATGAGAGCTACGCTCGTGGTGTCCCGTCTTCCCAGCACTCTTTGTCATATAACGCTTTGAAACTACTGACGGTCTTGGCCTCCACCACCTTCTCACTTAACTTGTTCCAACCGTCTACCACTCTATTTGCGAAGGTGAATTTTCTTATATTTCTTCGGCATCTGTGTTTAGCTAGTTTAAATCTATGTGTGGGTGTGTGTATGTGTGTGTGTGTTAATTACTACAGGTGGACTTAAGCAACCCGTTCACGCACTTGCTTACAGTCAATATTGGCTTATTTAATAAGTGCATATGTGACATACTAATTGATTGTGAATATTTTAGTTTACCTTGAAAAGCTTCATAGAAAACACCGACCTCACCTAACCTTCTTAGTATGTTAAAATAAGCATCTTATTGCTTCGTATTTACAATTATTACTTAACCTATCATACATCACCGAGTGATAGTGTGTGTTCCCCTCGTCTCAGAATAACACACTTGAGTGCAAGGTGCCATTCACACTTGTATGTGGCCACAACACCCTCGGTGCTCCCCTCAAAGTCCCTAATGTGTGAACACCTTTCACTTTCGACGTAGCATCATTGTTCTCACTTAGGATGACTGAACAGACCAACACACAGTGTCACGTTCTTCCTAACTCTAAACTCGACGCAGGTAATGAATTACTTGAATGCTACACACACACAGGGACTAGGCTTTTGTTGAGCGCGAGCCATGAAGCCTAACACACACACACACACACACACACACACACACACACACACACACACACACACACACACACACACACACACACTACGCACACACACTACGAGAGTGGGCCTCGTAGCCTGGTGGATAGCGCGCAGGACTCGTAATTCTGTGGCGCGGGTTCGATTCCCGCACGAGGCAGAAACAAATGGGCAAAGTTTCTTTCACCCTAAGTGCCCCTGTTACCTAGTAGTAAATAGGTACCTGGGAGTAAGTCAGCTGTCACGGGCTGCTTCCTGGTGTGTGTGTGTGTGTGTGGTGTGGGAAAAAAAAAAAAAAAAAAAAAAAAAAAAGTAGTTAGTAAAACAGTTGATTGACAGTTGAGAGGCGGGCCGAAAGAGCAAAGCTCAACCCCCGCAAAAACACAACTAGTAAACACAACTAGTAAACACACACACACACACACACACACACACACACACACATAGACATAGACATAGACATAGTATAGACTCATTCCTCTCAATGTTTGCTGACGACGCCAAAATTATGAGAAGGATTAAGACAGAGGAGGACAGCTTGAGGCTTCAAGAAGACCTGGACAAGCTGCAGGAATGGTCGAACAAATGGCTGTTAGAGTTTAATCCAAGCAAATGTAATGTAATGAAGATAGGGGTAGGAAGCAGGAGACCAGATACAAGGTATCACTTGGGAGATGAAATACTTCAAGAGTCCGCGAGAGAGAAAGACCTGGGGGTTGATATCACGCCAGACCTGTCCCCTGATGCTCATATCAAGAGGATAACAGCAGCAGCATATGCCAGGTTGGCTAACATAAGAACGGCCTTTAGAAACTTGTGTAAGGAATCTTTCAGAACATTATATACCACATATGTCAGACCAATCCTGGAGTATGCGGCACCAGCATGGAGTCCATATCTAGTCAAGCATAAGACTAAAATGGGAAAGGTTCAAAGGTTTGCCACCAGACTAGTACCCGAGCTGAGAGGTATGAGCTACGAGGAGAGACTACGGGAATTAAACCTCACTTCGTTGGAAGACAGAAGAGTTAGGGGGGACATGATCACCACATTCAAGATCCTCAAGGGAATTGACAGGGTTGATAAAGACAGGCTGTTTAACACAAGGGGCACACGCACTAGGGGACACAGGTGGAAACTGAGTGCCCAAATGAGCCACAGAGATATTAGAAAGAACTTTTTAGTGTCAGAGTGGTTGACAAATGGAATGCATTAGGAAGTGATGTGGTGGAGGCTGACTCCATACACAATTTCAAGTGTAGATATGATAGAGCCCAATAGGCTCAGGAACCTGTACACCAGTTGAATGACGGTTGAGAGGCGGGACCAAAGAGCCAGAGCTCAACCCCCGCAAGCACAACTAGGTGAGTACAACTAGGTGAGTACACACACACAGGGACTAGGCTTTTGTTGAGCGCGAGCCATGAAGCCTAACACACACACACACACACACACACACACACACACACACACACACACACACACACACACACACACACACACACACACACACACACACACACACACACACACACACACGTTTGCAACAAGACTCGTCCCAGAGTTGCGAGGGATGAAGTATGAAGAGACCGAATGAACTAAACCTGACGACGTTATAAAGATGGAAGAAGATGGGAGGACATGATACAGACGTATAAAATACTTAGGGGGGATTGACAGGCTGGGGGAAAAAAGAGTGTAAATGTTTACAAGGATTACCAACAAAACACGGATGGAAGCTTTAAACTTAGATGTGTCAGAGATATTAGCAAGTTGCCTTTTAGCGTAACGGTAGTGAGCAAATGGAATGACTTCAAGGAGCAGGTTGTAGAAACACACTCCATCCATAACATTAAAAACAGGTATGATGGTGAAATGGGACAGGTTTAAATGAACAAATCCACAAGGGCCGTGACGAGGATTCGAACCTGCGTCTGAGAGCATCCCAGACGCTGCCTTAATCGACTGAGCTACGACATAGTAAAAAGGTTCGAATCCTCGTCACGGCCCTTGTGAATTTGTTCATTTGATGCATCACGCAATTGTGATTTCTGTGTGTAGTGGGACAGGAGTCATTGCATTACACAACCGGCGGCTAGAAAAGTGGTGTCCGAGAGCTAGAGCTCGATCCAGCAGGTAAAAATAGGTGAGTACACACACCTCACACGACCATATATATAATAATATATAATATATTTTTATAATGATTTATATTCATGATGTGTGTATAAAAAACACAAGAAGGAACAATGGTGAATACATTGTATTCAATGTACAATGGATAGGTACATTGAATAGTACCTAGATAAACTCTACGTACAGGGATTACACATACAAGTTCAAGTTCAAGTTCAAGTATGTTTATTGAGACAAGAAAGAAATACATCTCAAAGGGATAGAGTAGATTAGGCTATTTCTACCCCCCCCCCTTTTTACACATACAATATTTTTGTTGTTTGCCACCACTCGGCCAAGCTGTCAAGGACGCCGGAGTAACAGCGTCGGCTCTCATTAACAAACGCTACCGAAAAGCTCCTTTTGAAGTGTGTTCGTCAGATAAAAATAAACGTA